AGTCAAGTCTTCTAATTAAAATCTCTTGGTGGTTTTCAGAATGAAGCAATGACTGGTTCTCACACCCAGAACCGAGTCCTCTCTCGAATCACGCTAGCATTAATGGAGGACACTGGGTAAGACAGCTGTAAGAATATTATATAAATTGTTTATTAAAATTAAATGAATATGAAGATTATAGCTTAAGAAAATGCTAACATTTTACACTGAAGCAAAATGTACTAATTCTTTTTTTTTTTTTTTTGAGGCGGAGTCTCATTCTATCATCCCATACAGAGTGCCAGTGGCACCGTCATAGCTCCCTGCAACCTCAAACTCCTGGGCTCAAGCAGTCTTCCTGCCTCAGCCTTGTGAGTAGGTGGGACTATAGGCATGAGCCACCACGTCTGGCTAATTTTTTTCTACTTTTAGTAGAGATGGGTCTCGCTTTTGCTCAGGCTGGTCTTGAACTCTTGACCTCAAGAGATCCTCCTTCCTTTGCCTCCTAGAGTGCTAGGATTATAGGCGTGAGCCACCACACCTGGCTGAGGTGGACTGATTCTTTGAATCTTGTAAACAGTTAGCTGTCCATTATGTACACCAGCTCCATTCATTCATTCAATAAATGTGTGAGGCCCTGAGATATAGTAATGAATAGAACAAATCCCTGATATTATGAAATGTATCTTCTAATAGGCAGAGACTATGCTAATATGAAGGAAAGACTAAATAATTTTTAAAATTGTAAATGAAATTGGTGATATATAGATTCCTGGTTTTTAAAGCAGTAGAACTTTCTGGTAAAGCAATGAAATACTGTTTTTAAATGAAATCTTTTACAGAACCCCTACATACCAAACAAATAAAATCAGAGCTGCTTTAGTAGAAGCATTCTTGCCTCTTGCTCTCTCTAAGACAGCCTGAGGAAAAATTTGAAAATGGAATCAAATTTAAAAATTAGTGGTAGAGGTGTTATTAAAACCATGAAAATTGTTGACCTTGCCTTAACTTTGGGCCGAGGGAGGGGTAGCCAAAGAGGTTTAAGGATTTCAAAGTACAGGGGTCATTGTTGACCCTGAGAACAGTTTCAATAAAAATGAGAGAGACTGAGACATTCTTAGGCTGAGCTGCTATAAATGAGAGAGGAAGACATAGGTAAGAAAGAACATTATTAACATAGCTTTGTCCCTGAGAATACAAAATGAGTGGGATCCAGAGAACCAAAAGAGAATTAGCTTGAATGGGAAGAGGGACACTTCTCTGTCCATTAATTCAGGAAGAAAGAATAAGAGTGAGAATGCAAGTCATTTTGTACGTGGAGGCAGGAAATTAAAGAAGTTTAGAAATCATGCTCACCATGTCTCTGTCATTTGGGAGGCAAAGCCATGCCTGAGGGAGAGAAGAGGCAGAAGTTGGATATAACTAAATACCTCATGGGCATTGTTTTAGGACAGAGAAGCTACGGAAGTCATCTACTTGCTTAATTTTCCTTTAGCCCAAAGCAAGAACAGCATGGAAAAAATATAGAGTTGTTCTGCATAATGAAGAGGTTGAGGGTCACTTTTATGCCTTTAAGATGTAGAAAATAGTATTCTAAAAAGTCATTAATGTGCAATGCCTTGAGATTAAACACTACTTTCTATAAGTGATAACAAAGTTTTGAAGTCCAGATGGAATTCACTATCTTGGGGATATTATTATTTTAAATATTTTATGAAATTTACTGATATATACAAAATACATGTATAAAACAGTGTGTATGTACAATAAACCCCATTATACCCATAACCTGATTCAACAGTAATCAAGATATTGCCATATTTGCAACATTCTTTCTTTTTTATTTTTCAAATCACAGACATCAAGTTATTTCACCCCTGTATACTATAGCATGAGTCTCTAAAAAGTATGGATATTTTTTAATGTAACCACAATACTAATAACCAATAATTATTTCCTAATGTCTTCTACTACCCAGTTCATAATCACATATCCCCTTTATCTCTCTTTTTACAACTGGTTTGTTTAAATCAGCATCCA